ATCTAATCAAATGAGCTGTCAATTTGTAAAAATTTTGTTTTCTTACTTACTTTACTCGTTATTTATGCAAACAGTCGAGAAATAGCGTGATGTTCACAATGGCGTGGTTCTAATTCCTGATTCTCTCGTGCAATATGGCGTTGTCTGTGGAAGACGGATCCATTACGTGGTCCAAGAAATATGTTCTAGTCTAGAAATATTTTTCAGATGGCGCACTCATTCGATATCGTTAAACTCTTATTTCGTCGAAAAAAAATTTTATCTCAGATTTTTAAATCTTTTCCTGTATTCTACTTTGATATATACACAATTCAAATTAAATAGCTCTGATATTATAAATTATCGTTTTGTATAAAAACTGCATTCATTGAAATCATAGTCGTCCATTACGTTTTGTGCATACGAATTGATCGATTAAATTGTAGCAATTTCTATGAAAATGTTGCATAATCGATATAATGTGAAACATGCTTTGCATATAAATAAATACTGTTACTATATCATTTATATTTGTGAAAACTTGTCTATATATTTAAAAGGATAATTTTATCGTACATATAAGTAAAATAAATTCAAATTTTCCAGACAGGAAATTTTTTCCAAGAAGAACGCGAGATGGCGTCAGTGCATTGCGTCGATTTCCCGCGTTGAGATGTTGAAATTGAAAGAACTAGAGTAAGTGATGTGTCGTGTGCCCTCGAATAAATTGAAATTATAAACTAGTTGATAATTGCCAAGTTGCTTTATTCGTTTTTGTTATAAACATGCTTTCGATAAAGCCTGTATAGATAAAACAACATTTTTTATTCTTCTTTTATCGCGGCGAAGTTCTTTCAGTGATTCCATTAGATGTAATATCTTATATGTTTCTTTACATCGTATAATAATTAGGTTTTGTATATACATATATATCAGAGATATCGAAAAGTATAGAAGACCCTTATTTTATTTAATTAAATCAGTATTAAATGAAATTGAGGCAGTTAATGTTTTCAGACAAAGTAGACATCAATAATGTGTTATTGTACTATTATCCTTCAAAAAAACTTTTGACAACTATTCTTGTCGAACGGATATAAAACACAAATGTATTCAAGATATTTCCTTAATTTAAATATAAATTTTATTTCCATTATTAGAATCATAATATACATAGCTCTGTGTACATAGCTCTGCAAAATATAACCTCAAACTATGTATTAAAAATTCAACGGTTAATGCATCAATGTATTATAGTAGAGTCTATCGGTGTTAGACAGAATCAAACAAGTGTTAAAATCAACAAAAAAGTTTTAAAATCATTGATCTATTTACACATCAGCGAAGATAATTTCATCTTCAAGAAAATGCACAGTGTAGCTGTATTCGGTAAGTTTACATACATAGAAGAATTTCATATAAATACTATATATATTTAACTTCATTTGTCATTAAATAATTAAAATTTAAATGAATTATTTTCATTTGCACAATAAGCAAAAATCAGCTCTCGTCATTGAAATGTGTAACAGTCATTTTACTGAAATGTGCAATAACTTATTGATAATAGCGTCATTTTTAGTTGTTTGAATGTTAAAGACTAACGATAAGCCGATTAATTTTTACAATTTTTATTACAATTTATTCTTGCTATTGATTACATAAAGTATGTACTAGATAGGTCGAATTAATTGTTTATACATATAATGCGTATATGTGCATATGTATATATGCAAGATATGTTCTGTAATTTTTCGAAAAATTTTTTACGGAGAATTATTTTTTTTTATAAAATAGTAAAATTTTTGCAATGTGGAAACATCCGTAGAAGGTTAAGCTTGGGCAATCGGGATCGGTTTCCGGTTATGTCGTACCTATTCGTGTAATTTCGTGAAAATTCGGCTTTACTCGGTCCTATAGGTGGTTGTCAGTGGTCGTTGTTGCTGCACGGAATATCTGATTGCATGCATCACTATCAGATAAAGGGTACCCCTCGATCCTTTTACCTTTCATAAATTTAATAAAGTGTTATAACTATTTTTACATATTGTAAAAATTTTACTCGTCTTTTATAAATTAAAAAATTAATTCCAAAATTTGATGATTATATTTCTATAATCTTATTTGAATGTAATCAAATATAACTATAACATTGTATGGATCGAGGTTTCTCCATTGAGAAATTAAGTAAAAGAATTTGAAGAATCGTTTTGATTAAAATCTAAACTGATCTACTACTAATTGAAATTCGAATTTCATTTAGATATTTTCTAGTAGAGTACTTTTAAGAGCGATTAATCACGATTATTAAAAACGGCATGATTAATAAAAACTCGAGAATTCTCTACAGAGAATTTCTCTAATCCTAGCATACGATTTCCTCCATATTCACTTCATTATTATATACATACTTGATCGCCGTTCGCACGTTTATTCGCGTTTGTAGAAGTATGTAGCTATCGGAACGTTTGAACGTATACGATGGTCGGGAGTGAGAATGAGAGGGAAAAAGGGGGCGAGGGAAAACTATCGAAGATATGTAACTATATACCGGATGAAGCGAAAGAGGACGAAGAGGACCACGATGTTGAAGATGAAATTGAAAAGAAGCGGAAAAACGTGAAAGATAATAAAAAGAGAAATAAAAGGTGGTGAGTCGTGGGGGGAAGATAAACGAGAAAGGAAAGCGGCAGAGATAGAGAGGCGAGCGGACGGGGGAGGGGTATGGTGGACAGGGATTGAAGTAACAAGAGAAACGAAAGAGCAAGAGGGGAAAATAATGGAAAGAGAAGGAGAGAATCATAGAAGAGATAGAGAAATGCAAATTGCGAGCTGGGGGTGCGAAAGCAAGTTGGAACGGGAGAAGGGGAGAGATGGAACACGGGATAGAAAAGGAGAAGAAGAGGTGCCTATGCGCAACCGTTACGACGCAGACAGCTCGTCTATATACTTGGTTCAACGACCACCGCCCTAGTATCATCCAACCCCGAAGTACCGGGCGGCTCGGTGGTCGGGCTGGATACTAGATTAGGGATGCAGAGGGGGTTGGAACGAAGCAAGAGAGTTCGAGGGGGTTGCAACGGGGAAGGTTTGGGGGGATGGGTTGGCTGGGGAGGTAGTAGAGGGAGAAAAGTCGAGGTGGTGTTGAGCGGAACGGCCCACGGGCCAGTTCCGTCTCGAGCCCAGGAGTAGAAGAGCTACTGGCCGCTTGTCTGCTCCCTTCTTTCGCTATAGTTTCATTTCTTTCCGTTTTAGTTCATTCTTCAGTTCCGATTGATTGACACGTTGGTACTCACACACATACACACACACGCACGCACGCACACGCACACACATATACACACATACACATATACACACGTGCGCATACGTACAGATATACATACATATAATAATATTCAAACAAGTCGTACGCGACAGATTCGTACACCAGTGGTATACGTGCGACGTATGTGTACGTAATCACGCCAACTCTCATCACGCATACACCTGCACACGTACAGGAGTATACGGAAGCGTACGCGAGCGCGTCACACAGATAACGTATTTTGAATATATAATTTGGTCACATATAGAAAAGGGAAGAAAAGATAGATAAAAGGAAAGAAAGAAACGTACACGCAAAGAGGAAAACATAAATCATCCGTTTATTGGTTTATTGTGATCGAGAAGTCGCACGCTCGATAATCACCGGTTCTCCTGTTTATCGTATGCTCAATGCACGGATACAGTCGCGATCAGCTAGCGTATCTTTAGGTCTGTTATCTGACCAAGTGTACCAGGCCCCGTAGTACCTGCGTCTTCTGTCCATCCAATACGCGTGCAACAAGCCCGCGGGTTGCTTGAGTTTTAGGAAACGTAATTCTTGCATTCAGGTACGTGCAACAAATCTCTATTATGCGACCTATGAAAGCAACAGCTTTCACATTATTTTTCTCCTTCTCGCGATATTTTCCACGAAGCTCCTCGATACGAATGGGTGGCTGTGGGAAAACCCTTGGACGAGATTACCGTTTTATCCGCTATCACAGCGATGTAAAGAATCTTCATCATTTTTCGTGAGATGAATTCTCATTCTTAAACGCGGGAGATTGCGCCAACACGATGGACAGAGAATGTTTCTCGTTCGGGGGTTATGTTTTTATCCAATTAGTGTAACAGATGGATTGTACAAAAGGATTGTGCATGCATTTTATTTTCTTTCTCCTTAGCATTTACATGTCTTATTGTATTGTTGTAACTCTAGGTCATCGTATTAAATCGAAAAAAAAAAAGAAAAACGCGAACACGCGTTTATAGAAATCGTTTTCAGCGAACAAGACGGCGAGCATTCTAAGAAATGTGTAAAGAAAGTGGCGCGCGTGTGGGAACAAAAGAACGTAACAGCCCTATAAATCAACCCTTTATGATACGGCGCACTCGAATCGCTGACTTGCGTCGTTAGTATCAAAAGGTTTGGCATGCATACGATTCATCAAGTTTATGTATACATCGAGATAGTTATTAATTTATACAATCGTGTAAAGAAGCTTTTCTACGAAACAAATACGACATCGGACACAGATTACATACAGTTACGTTACATCGTTGTTCTCTCCTTTTGTCAATTCTATGAATTTTTCAAAGTTCACGTACACACGTTGTCAACTTCAACTAGGAATTTTTAATTTACTCCATTATTCGAACGATTTTTCATACAAACATACGTCGAATCCAAATCTTGCAAATTACAGGTTAACTGACAATAAGTCGAAGCAAACGAGCTTTGAAGGTTCTTTAGAGATTTTATTTTACCTGCCGGTTACTGATAAGACGACGCTTCAGGCTAGAGAGATCGCTATCTGTTCGACTTCGTGGCTTTTCGAGCGACCTTTGCCCTGTTCTTGCTGGTAGCCAGTTCCAAACCGCCCCTTGTCAGCTGATTGAAATCGATAATGGTGAGCCTCGGCTCGGCGGGATGTCTGGACAGGGCCTGCACCCTGTCGAGCGGTGCCCCGGGGCTCCGGAACCTGTAGCTCCGGTTCCTGCACCCGCCGACGCCCGTTCCACTTCCAGTTCCGGTCCCAAGCTGGCTCATTCGCGTGCCGCTCATCGATCGGTAACTACCGTTCGCGGCCATCTCTGTCTCCTCTTGAAAGTACCTGCCAATCAGTACAGTCATGTGTATTTCATCATTAAATTTGTTCTTCCTCGTTCAAAATCGTGATTCAAGAATCACAACTACTTAACTTGCAGACCAGATAGAACAGATTTTATATAGCTATTTCTATCAATAAGAGTTTGACAGTTTTCTGAAGATATTAGCAGATTTAGAAAGAAACGTATGAATATTTATAACAAATAGCGTCAAAATAATGTGACTAGAATTACTCGTGAATACTGGCCAGATGTATAGGGGCGGGTTTCCGGGAGGTCTTCGGTCTAGGTTCTCGAAGAACTCGGTCTCTCGGTCGCGACTGTCGCGTTCGTTTGGTGGATGGTTGATCAGGAAGACCAGCGGGGATAATGCCCATTAATTTGTAATATTCTAGGAAGACACGGGCCAGATTGCGGCCTAATCTGTAATCTGCGGTTTAATTGAGTAGCGAAGATAGTTGATTTATCGGCACTACAAGCCGATGGTTAAATACCGGCACGTTAAGTACCGGATGATCGATTGGCACGTAAACTTTTTTATTAAAACGCGCGAAGCTCACGTTTTAATTGGTCGTGGTGTAAATTACTCACTGATATTTTGCTCAATTTTCTTTGAAAAGCATAAAACGAGACGAAATTAGCGAACGTATTATCGGATCGGCGAATTTTCTTGTTGGAATGCTTTCACGAATTGTCAACGTTATGACAATCTAAAGTTAATTGGTTACTTAGTTACCAACTGAATTTTTGTTTGAAATTTTATACACTATACTATATTTGTTTGCAAGAATTTTGAAACAGAACAAACTTGCTCGTACACAAATGGAAGATTTAATTTGCGGGAAACAAATGCAGATATCAAAGGATACATCCTTCCTCGGTGTACGGGAATACTCCAGGCATTGATTTCCTATTATATCCGTACATCGACACTTCGATGCTGTAGCAGTTCACTTGTTCCTTGAGAATGGAGCACAGATAACGACGCGCGGTACCAGCCTTGTGAGGATCCTGATTGTACATCGTGTTCCCTATTTCATAGTCTTCGGCGTGTTGCGCCAACAACTTTGGTAACACGATGTGTCTCTCGTACCTGAGAGGCTGGCAGCCATTGGTTAGATAGTGTCAGTAGAGAAAGGAAAAGAAAGAAAGAAATGGCTAGGAGTACCTGTACACGTCGTCGTACGTGTTCCCATAAACGAAGAATCCTGTAGCATTGGTGTGAGCATGCAAATCAAGTACACAGTCTAACGGCGTATGGGAACTCTTGTCGAGGTTCTTCAGCATCGGTTTTATCGCTACCAGAGCAGGATGAAGCCATTCGGAGATCTTGTTCCACGAACGATTCAAATCTGCTCCCATCAGTGTGGATCTTCAACAAGAGAACCGTCACATTCTGTCGTTCGTTTGCTTCTCATTTATTCCTCGTTTTGGCAGAGGACATTCTCTCTATTTACCTGTAATTGCCAAGAAAAACGCCGTCAGGGTTTAGCATCGGCACTATCTTGAAAACGACGTAACTCCTCAACACTTGGGCGATGGGATGGGAACTGACCAGAAAGTCCATTAGCCCTTGGCAAACGAAGGAAGAGGGTGACTCGCCTGGGTGTATCCTAGCAAGAACGACGACCACCCTTCTCGCGCGATCTTGAACGTCTTCCAGATTCGAAGTTATAGTGACCAATTCGATGTTCCTCTTTTGTATCGACGTGGCTAAGGTTTCTCTCTTGGTGCACGTTAATCTGGTACAAAGGTTGTCCAGATGTGCCAGGTAGCGGCTGTACGAGTAAGGATACGTCAAGGCAAACTGGTAAACGTCTTCTTCACGGTCGAAGGAAAACGCGAAGCTGAGGATGTAATGATTTTGGTGCTGCGCCGATTTGTAGTAAAACACCTAGAGGAAAGTTGATACGCTTTCGTGAAATATCCTTCGGTGTTGGTTAATTTAATTGACCACCAACTCACTTGCTCTCTTGGAATCCTTTGCCACTTTGGCCTGCTGCTGCTCTTTACCAACGGCGTCAGTCCATTCCGAAATAGATTCGCGCTTTTGGATATGTTGACTATGTTGAACACCACTCGTTGATCCGCCTTCACGTTATCCACGGTGAAGTTGAACCACAGACGGAGCCGTGGATTGCACGTGTCAGGTCGGATGAACAGATCATACTCGAATTCGGAGATAAGATCCACTCTGCCCAGGTTGCCAGTTTCGAACGAGGCATCGAAGCAGATGTGACCTTTCTTTGCTTTCCCACTGTGACCTGGTGGACGGATGATCATCTTGTTCACGTTTCCCAGCCCTCCTTCTGTATCGCTGTCTTCGCTCTCTGCGCAATGAGAATTCTCTTTGAATCTTTCAATATGTTCGCGTTTCGTTTGGAAAAGTGCAATTGCAGCGAAGGAATCAATCGGTTCGAAATATAGACAAAGAAAAGAGAAACGATATCGGACCGGCTCTTTGATAGAGACTGGTGTGCTCTAACGGGTCTCGACCCTCCATCCTGAAAGAGAGGAAACGCGCTGATCTACCAGGCAGAAGACGCGGGAACGGACTGACTTTCCTCCAGGTCTGACTAGCTTTTACGGCGGGTGTTACCACCTACATGGATAAAGGCTGAAACACCGATCGTGCCGTAGGATCAGCACGTTACGGTTAATTCTCGTGTCGGCTCTCGTGCGAGGAATTTCTCGTGTGGCCTGGGTTCGTGATTTCGCGCGGTTCAATCGAGCAAGATTGGCGGGAATTCGCGTGGCTGCCACGCGTCAGAGATCCCACAGAGATCGACAGTGTGGGCTTTAACGAAACGGTCAAAGTTGTTTGCGGTCACGAGAAGTGGTGGTGTTGATCGAGATCTAAATGAAGAGTGGTTAGGTCCGTCGATAATGTATTTTCGTTGCTCGGTGAATTCGGTTCGTTGATATCGTCTTTTTTTTTTTTTTAAACTGATCTCGTATCCTTCTGTAATCTCGCGTTCGTGGGAAGGAACGAGGTTGGTGGTGGTGGTGGTGGATGAAAGAGCTGTTGCTCGTGGTCACGAAACACTGGAATTAGAAGTTGAGCGATGAACTAATTTCAACGTGCGGAGGTCGTGGTTCATCTATCAGATACATGCGAAATGTTTTTAACGTTTCCATGCATTTCCTTGTATAAAAATTGAAATTATGTGACCAAAGTTAGTAAAGTCACTGTATTTGTCAACTTTCAAGGTGGATCACACGTAAATGATCTTCGAATTTTTTGATCCTTCGAGAATCGATTATTCTTATCTAAAGATTAGATTGCTGGATAGTCTTGCGCATTACGTATTAACGATGCAAGATTCAAGACGACATTGAGGAGATGGTATTAGGGCTGGTGAGATTCACGTGGCGTGTGCACGAAGAAGGAAGAAGCAGTGATAGTAACGTCCACGTCACGTCTTCGCCAAACGACGTCGTGGTGTCTGAAGTTTAGCTCCTTCGTTCCTACCATGCATTATTCTTTGCCTGAGGGGTAGTATATGGCGTGTCGCGTGTGGATTTCTAAATCAGGATTGTTCGATATCTATTTCCATGCGGTTCGTACGATGCCCGTAAATGACACATCCGCAGGCTAAAACTTGCACGCCTATAGCCTGGGAGGAATGAAAACGAAGACAAAAAGAAGGGAATTAGACTATAGTGGTTTTCCATTGGGATTGCGCAATTCTCTTATCAATCATTTATCAATTGACGCAAAGCTGGCTACCGCTATACCACGAGTCTCGTGAACTTTGCGTAGCCAGTCAATGGTAGTGACCGACAGTGACTCGTTTTCTCGGTTCGATTAGATTCAAGAAAAGGCGTAAAATGTCGTCGACGAAATCTTATCGTTCAGCGTTGAAACTTGGACGTTTAGCGTTTGACATTTTTTTTTTCTTCCCAAATGGCTAGACTACATAATGCAGATTGATAGTTTGACATTAGCGTGGCAGCCAGCTTATTCGCGACGGGATAACCTTTCACATCTGGGGAAGCTTTTTACAATTCGCCCGGACAAATGTCTGCGGCGTGTTATCTCGCCGCGATTACGGTCGTGGAAACAGAGGAAGGGGGGGGGGGAAGAAAGAACGAGAGAAAATTTCTGGGAAATTGGAGGGAAAAGAGAGTTTGAGGACACTCTGGAGCTGACGGTTCGGAAGAGCAATTAAAAGTGGGACAAAGAGGCTGGACAGAGAAGCACGGAACAATCAAGAGAACGGCAAGGGTGGCCGGAGGACAGAGAGGGAAAAGACACACTGTAATACGCACCGCTGGATCTTCAACAGTTCCGGCTACGAGGGAAAAGAAGGAAAAGCAACCTCGATCGTTATATCCTTTCTCCTCGACACGCTTCGCGATCTAGATCGTACGAAATTAAAGGTCCCTCCTATTTCATTCGTTATCCCGTGTAAAAACGAAAGTTGGGCCAAGAGAGAATGAAAAAAAAAAAGAGACTAGACTAGAGTAGTAATAATA